ACCAGTGCAACCCCCAGATGAAATTTCCTTGGCAAAATCAAGAGTTGCAGTTTTTCTCTAAGGAGAACCACTGTACTACAGTGGCCCTTCTCTTATCTCCACGGGTGGCCAGGAATTGGCAAAGCCTGAAACACCTGAATGAACATCTATTTTTAAGAAACTCAAGCTCTGAGATTTTCCAAAGCAGCACAAGCTGAACATTCAGAAACAATAATATGCAAAAATTTACTTATGAAATTTTGGCAAAATGTCTTTTTTATTTTTCATTTGTATGGAGAGAACTCGTCCTTCTAACATTTACTGTCAGAAATCGTCTTGTACAAGAAGTACCAGAAAACACCACAGTGACAAACTCAAAAACATACAGGATGAACTCTAAAAATGCTGGAGTTTGGAGGCTGGATAACAATCTTCTGAGCTAAAACAAAGGAAAATACTACATTTGCATTTCACAGAAAAGAGAAGAAAGCTGACATTATGTTCCTAATACTTATGTTTATTATGGAAGTGTCTCCAAATTAAAATAGCCCACAATACTGATTGGTTCCAGAGATTCAATGAAGAGTAATTATCTTCCCGATTAGAAACAAAACAAAATAACCCAAGTTAAACACAAAATAACTCCCAAAGTTGTACACAAGAGCTATACATGAAAGCACTCCTAGCTAACTAGCACATCACTGTGTTTGCAACAGTGGAGCTCTAACACATTACCGTATTTCTGAAAGAGTTGCTTCAAGCACAGGATTTTCATGAAAACACAGGTGAAATGGTGTCATCTGTCTCACCCTGACCTGCAGCAGGTATCAACATGCCTGGCATGATATGAGAGCTCGGATACAGAAGTGAAATCCTGGGACTGCAGGAGGATAAATCTCAACAGAAGCCATAAAATGTGTTTTGTTGCACAGATCATTTTAGGTCCTGTAAGACAATTGTTTTGGTCTTTAGTCTGACGTGGGTGATCATTGACATGGCTCCAAAACACCGTTTTATAGTATTTCTTCCATTTTTGATTGTAAACAATTTCAAAAAACAAGAACTGTGTACAGACACAGCCAAACACTGTGTTTTCATTGCAACTACAGTCAGAAATCCTTACAATTTAAAAGCTATCCACATATGCCACTTTTCCAAACTTTCACCAGGGTTTTTTTAAAAAAGAAAATTAAAAATAGAAGTTTGTCTTATTGAAGTTCTCATTAGATCCCTGTTCCAAATCAAAACCAGTCAAAATACAAGTAACAGGCTGGTTTTGCTTTAGGGTTTAAAGGCAACTGTAGTTTGCAGAACACTGAAGTTGGACCTCCAAGGGTCTACATTACAGAAAGGGTAAAAAGTATTGAGAAACTCCTCTCACAAATGTCACGAGAAGTCGACAATAGGAGACATACAAAAATGAGTTGTAGCAAATAGATTAAAAAAATACCAAAGCATCAATTGTAGAAAACCAATGACAGCCTATGTTTCTCTGAGACTGCAGAAGGCTGCAGCAGTGAGAAGATGAATGAAAGAGGCATTAGTTTTCCTACTAAAAGAGTCTGTGTAGAACACGTGCAGTGTCTAAATCAGCTCTGCTGACATAGCACTGACACTTGCCGCAGGGTAACTGCTTTTGCCATTGGGTTCCGTTTGGAACCAGAAAGTGATTTTCACTCAAAATGGATGCAGATTTAAGACTCAAATCACTTCAAAGTAAGCAAAGCTTTAGTGCTTGCTGCTGGGTCTCAGGGAAGGATTTGGCATCGGTGATTGTACAGAATGTTCACAGGCTGCAACAAGAGCATCCGAAGGCTTCCAGAAGAAAGCTGTGACACCTGCTCCGATTCTGCGGGAATCACTGAACAAATAATACATACAAAACAATACAAAATGGCAGGAAGGAAACAGCGCGGGACACTTTGGTATTTTAGAACTAGCACTACTTAACACTGATCAAGATCCAAATGACTCCAAAGTCTAACCTTGTTTGATCAGATATTTCTACCATTTTCTGCATTTTTTAAGCTTTTTATGAAAAAAATCACAGATTTTTAGTTTGGTACAACACATGTGAAATGCGTTTGCTATGGAAATAGTTATGAAAAACAGTAAATAAAATGAGATCTGTATCTTCTTTTGCTATATTCTGGGCTGGCTAGAGATAGAAGACAAATTCTTACTATTTACTAATAACATCTACAGTCTAAATTCTTTCTTTTTGCTACTTCAACATCTCAACCACTGTGTCTTTTACTGTACTATAAAAAGAGAGCATAGAAGTTGAAAACAAATAGGTTATAGAATACAAAGCCTTATTCCTAAAATGACTAAGATGACAATTCTACAAAAGGTAAAAATACAGAACCTTTTAAGACCTTGCATTTACCATGAGCTGTGTGAATCACTTCAATAAATTTTCAGGAATACATGCGATTATCCTCTAAATACTTAAAGGCCTCCAAAAGCACTTTGCAAAGATTTTCAGCAGAGAAGCAAACAAATTCAAATTAAAAATAAAAGCACCGCATTGCACTCTCTCTGAGGAGTGGAAGATGGAGCCAAAGTTTGATTTGACTGGTTAAAGCAATGAATTGAAACACACTGTCAAGTATGATCTCTACAGGATTTGGTCCTTCCCACTAAAGTCATAAAAATTTGAGTAAATTTTTCATCTCCATAAAAAAAATGTAATTTGAAAGCTTAGTTACTATTCAAGGAAGTTTAGTGAAGATCTTTCCTTATTCTTATCCTGTTTTTTTGCACAAATGTCTCATCTGAGTTTCATCTTTCCTTTTTTTCCATACATACCTATATATTCCAGGCTGCTGAGAAAGGACTCTGGGACATGCCTAGGTCACAGGAGATGAGCAGGTGACCAAGGGCCAGCTGAACCACAGTAGCTGCAAGGTGGGTCAGTGCAGGGGTGCCAACCCTCCTGCCCGAGCCAACCGTACACACAGCACACCTGGAGAGGCCCAACAGAGGCCACAGGTCTCCTCTCTTGCATGAAGATCCTTAAAGAGAATTACTTTCTACACTGTTATCAAAGAAGCTACAATACCACGGATGCACAGTTAAAGCAGCATTCTGTCCTCAGAGCAAGATAAAATATTTCATACGCTTTCAGAATTTGGGGGCATTTTAAAATATCACAGCCCATTCTTGAACGTTATATTTCTTAACTGTCTTTGCATAAGGGAAGAGGTCCAGTGAAGGTAGTAATCAACATCATGGAAAAAGAGTGTTTAAACATCATGGAAAATGAGTGTTTAAATTTGTTTAAACATCTTCAATGGCCATCTTAACAGGTCATTATGCTTATTCAATTTATCTCTCATTTTAAAGGTCTTGTTTTAAAATCTCAGTGTCATTTTGACAGTAATTACTAAACAAGAACTACTTCAAATACTGTGGATGGGATATTTCCTATAGCAATCACTCTATTTTCACATATATTACTCTACTTCATATTTCATGCTCTGCAGATAACCAGTATAAAATCAGAGAGGCACAGAGACAGATGAGAAAAATCAGAGACTGAAAAAGCTTCCAAGGGAGAAGAGATCCAAGTAAGACTCTCCCACTCCCTCAAATACACTCACAGACATACAACCTATGCAGCTGTTGAATTACAATGTTGACAGTAGCATTTTTCAAAAGATGTTCTGTGGATTATACATATCAGCCTACAATGGCAAAACTTCCAGCTTTTTTCCATGATTTACAAGTTTTCACTTATCTTTATCCTCTACTAAGTGGAGGTGCTATTTGGATTCATGCCGTTCTGCCCTTATTTAAGCACATTTCTGGCTAGAACACAAAGGTCCCTAGGAGTAATAAAGGTTTCAGAAGTTTTCAAGAGTCACCAATAGAACCAAACAAATCCCTGTTTTTCAAAAGAAAGAAGCGGCAACACATCACTTTGTATACATATACCCTTTAAGCATGTTTTATGGCATCAGAAACCTTATATATTTTGCGATTTGCATAGGTAAAGAAATCAAAAATACTTCCTGGCATAGCATTCCAAGTGAACATAACACACCAATTCCTTTGTATATAGGAAACACACTGTTACAACCTTTTCCTAGTTTGTTCCTTCCTTTTATTTTTATATATATATATGTATGCATGTATATGTGTATAAATATAAAAGCACACATATGCGTACATATATATTAAATATATATATAAATAGATAAGTGTGTATGTGTGTGTGTGCGCTGGTGCGCCCACATGTGTGTGTCTTTGGTCTATAAGCACATTGGTTCTGTGTCACATACACAATACTGTTGAAGACTAGGTTGCATAGAGTCTGTTGCCCAGAAACCTCTCCTACTTCTGGCACTGCTGTAAATATCACAGAAAAGTGTTCTGCAAGAGTTGTATGATTCTTAGTCATATGACATCAAACTTTATTCTAAAAACTGGAAGAAGTGTATAGAGTTAAAAAAAAATTGTTTATTTTGGGTGTTACTTTGTCTCCTTTTAGAACATGGCTCATAAACCTTGGCTAGAACAGGAGAACAAAATTATTTTATGATCACCCTTAACTTTATTTTCTAGAGGTAATAAAATACTGCTGAGTCTTCAAAGCTTGCTGTGAATTATGTTAAGTAACTTCTGCTCAAGCTTTCATGCATTTAAAATAAACTTCTAGTAAAGCATAACCTTCTGCCTTTTATCCTTTCTTCAGCCTACCAAGAAAGTGACAGTAATTGACATTAATAAGGACAATACCTACATTGAGCTATATCCAAGGAAGCAATGACCTTTCACCTGCTGTCTTTTTTTTTTTTTTTTTTTTT